CTATCTCTGAAGTATACTATGTGTTTTATGTAGTGTTGTAAGTGTTTGTTGAATTTGGAGGTTGAGTTTTGGTAAAACAAAGTTAGACTGTAATATTACATTACATGTCTTTCTGAATATGTATTTTCTTGTTATACAAGATTATTTGTAGTCAGCTTAGCAATGATTATTTGAGGCCGAGGGATTTGGTCGGGCTGAACTTGGGTTGGGCTTGTGAAGATGAGGAGGCCCGGCCCAATAGAAGGGAGTTCCCGGCGGCTACTGAGGTGGCTAGAATGCCCACATATTTTTAAATATATAACTGTTACGTGTTTCCTGGCCAGAATATTTTGCCCGGTTCTCTTTAGTTGGTACAATTTATGTCATCATGTGAGAAGCAGCTTATGTGAATTTTAAATTTAATGATTATCTATTAATTACAACATTTGAAACTAATTGTAAAATAATGACCTTTAATTGTTTGTAAACAATGTAAAGTATTGCACGCTGTGCAGAATACACGGAGACAACCATAAAAAGTAAAGAACAATTCTTCGTAAAATATGGTTTCTTGTTAGGAGTATAGAATTATTAATATTTTGTCTTAAAAATTAAATAGGCTGTCATTACAGCAATGTTTCAACTAATAATAATTCAAATAAGAGTAATGCTAAATTGCCAATCTAGTATACAATTAGGTTGACAACACAATTGAAAAATTCAAAAAAATAAAAATAAAAAAATATACAAGTGAATGTTTTCATTTGTGTTGTCAACCTAGTTGTACACTAGGTTAGTAATGTATCATTTTTCTTCAAATAATAATAAAGGCACTTCTCCACATCTATATATATATATATATATATATATAGGATGTGGTTCAAATGAGAACCAAGTCTTAATGTGAGAACCGCTATTTTTAATTGTGCGTAGTGCTATGATTGATTGTGTTTGGTGCTATTTTTAACCATGATGAATTTTATTAAAAATAGCAACATAATTTCTGTTAGCATTTGTAAAAATGATAGCATCATCTAATATGAAAAATAGCATCATACACAATTAAAAATAGCATCAAATACGGTTCTTACGGTTCTCACGTCAGGACTAGTTTTGATTTGAACCAATCCCTATATATATATATATATACA